CCGGAATTTTATTGTAGGTATATCAATAAAGGGATACGCAAGCTATGGAGGCTCATTTGATTTCATCGATGGGCTTGAGTGCGTGGATTTCGGACGTACCCGATGAAACCACCAAAGAATTAGTCAAGCAAATATCATTCACATGAAACAAAACAATTAACAATGGCTGGTCACCGTGCTAAATGAGCACTACAGGATGTCGCTTCAGCTGGTTGGCCTACAGCGATCACGCACTTGTTGCTAACTGATCTTGATTCGGGTCGAAGAGAGAAGAGTGGAAGCCTTGGTTCTTGTAGAAATAGTGCCACATTGCATGGAAGAAAGGGGTCATGGATTGTCGGAATGGAACAACATTGCTGTTTATGAACGCTCTGCGCTGAAGGTTCTTACCATAAGCCGTGTGCAATAAATCTACCTCCTACGCAAGATGCGGAGATCGATCTCGGAAACCACATGACGGGCTCGTATTGTCCGATTACAGTTTGTACAAGAGTTATTCCGAAATACATTAGTTAGGGGGGTCTATCAAGCCAATAGCAGGGGAGGCCATTCACTCTAGCAAAGAGCAGCAAGTATCATGGGTTCTACTTCATTCCCGGGAGGCGGTGCATGAGAACACGCTGGGTTTACTTGGGCGGGGTATTTCCGAGTTCTAGATCCTTTCTGGAAGACAAAGGCTAGGCTCGGTATAAGCATTTGGTCCAGAGTAGCAAGAGGGAGCTTTCGGATGAGCGGTCTGACGCAGCCAATGCCAAGGGGACAACCAAGACATTCAGCTTGTTACTATTAGTAACAAAGTATTTCTGAGGGCCGTCGAGAAGCTTGGCAGAAGGTCACCTGGGTCCCAGAAACAATAGATCGCCTGGAATTCGTCTATCCGGGGATGTCGAGTGCGAACCCCGGAAGAATTGTGGGAATGTAAGACATCGAGACACCCCGGGACAACGGCAAATGCACCCAGAGTGAGGCGAGGTATACATCGATTGGCTCAGGCCAGCGCAAAAGAGGGGACATCGCGATCAACTCTCCGGCGGTGTTACGGAAGAGCGGATGGTTGGTTGGTCGCACGACCACGACGTCGACGAGAAGGGTTGCTCACGCACTGATTTTTTTGTCGGTCGTATCAATATTGGGATATTCCTACCCAACAGGTTGCTTTGCGGCCATATTCTATGTAAGAAAGACGTCAGACCTAACGGAAGGTAGCAGTCCTTCTCAAGTGCATCGCTCAATTCCCTCTGGTAGGTTCTTTCGCTGGCACGGTCCCGAAATGTGACAAATTGGAAATTAAAAACCAAAGCATTTGGCCCGACGATTTGTTGTCAGAGAGGCATGTGACCCCTGACAGAGGGGAAACATTGAGTTAAGGAAGTTGGCCAATGAGAGTTTCCAAAAAGAAAGGAGATTCAGGTTCTATTGGTGGAACTTTCAGAGGTGGCTGAGGAGGTCACACTCCAGTAGAGAAAACAGGCGGAGATACGAAGTACCTTCATTGTGAAGAAACACGGGCGGGGTTGACACACTGAGCTTGTTTCTTTGCTTTTTCCACACCCAAAATCAGGCATTCAACTTGCGCATTTTCCTCAATGCAACATAGCCGACACTGGGTACCTGCAACGCGTGGTTCAAAATGTGGATATCCAGAGTCGAAGGGAGTATTGGGCTGAGACACTGCATCTTGTTGTTTGATCTGACCGGCTGCAAGTATCTTAGTCATAACAAGACGTCTTGTTTCCTGACCGATGTTTGTAAGCATAGATGAGCAGGGTGTGGCTCATCTTGATCAAACAATAGTCTGCGAGACGATGGGAGTGGTTGGTCTTTGTGTGCGTGCGTGGCCCACTCGCTTCCTCGGAATGCTTCTAGCCCCCAATTCTCTGTGCATATATTTTCAAGGATTTTTCATATATTTTATTTCTTTTTATCTCCCTCCAATTTCTTTTTGATTTTCTGTGGCTGTTTATCCAGGGCTTGGGGAGCACACGGAGCACAGGAATGGAACACTGCCATGTGATGTGACCCTACCTACTTTTATTTGCGTCCTTGCCTTGGGCTCCAGTGCATTTCAAGCAAACAACACCAGCCGGTTGGGTATGAGCGAGCAGTGCATGAGCCTAAAGGGGATCGGACCTTTGCATAACCAAATTGTATGCGCTGGAAGTACGGTCTGTCGTCGGATCGTGCACACATTGGTCCAGGTTGGATAGCCGGCAAGAGACCAGTGACTGCGACAAGCTGCGGGGTTGACATGTCTCACGCAGGAGAGAATGTAACAAGAACAAAAGAATTAAAAAAAAGTAAGACACGGTGTGAGCATGGCTGGTCGCATAAGAGTTTCGATGATTGTTTGGCACTGATCGCCAAGCACACCCCCTCCATTCCCCTCATCCAATAGCTAGGTTTGATGTGAGGGGACGGCGGAGGACGAGGGAAGGGGACATAGGCTTGCTCTCCCCGTGAGCCAGAGACTGACAAGGAACAGGGGACGGAAGAATAGCCAGCCACAGCTGAAACGAGGGATGCACCCAGGGCGGTTCAGTGTGTTGCCAACAGCACGTTACGTCGCCCGTGTGCGGTCAAATGGGCGGCGCCTGCATGAGAAGGTTCTTTTTTTCTTTTATTGCCTAGTCTGTATGTCTTGTCGAGGTGGCAGGGCCAAAACGTTTGTACCGACCCCGGATACGCACCCCGGACTTGGGGAGAGGATGATGATGCTGGGTTATGCAGTGTAACCCGCCGCTGGGAGCCAAAAAGGGAGGGGAAGGCTTAGCCCAGCAGCACACGACGAGCTAATCCAGCGACTGTGTAACGATAATTACGAGAAGAAAAGTAGGGCGTGGAGCAGGGGTGCTTGCCGTTGCTGAGCTTATCCGTACTTTTGTCTGCCCTCCTCGGCATGTATTCCGTGGCCATCTTGACTTTGTCTTCTATTCCCGCTTTCTGGCATGCGCATGCCGCAGAGGTGCGTCGACCGCTCCTTTCGGAAAAGGTGCGAAAGAGAGGCGTCTGATAGCCCTGCCCGGGCATGGACGAAGCAGGGCGTGAATGAGATGAGCGGAATCCAAAGAGCTCTGGGCTCGATTGGGCAGCGGCACTATTCTTAGGCCTTGGCTCAATGAGGAAAGCCGAAATCCAGCAGGAAAGTGAAGCTGATACAAGCGAGGACTGGAAAAAGAAAGCAATAAACTAGGGCCACGACGGGCTCTTTTTGGTCAAGGTGCCTCGCCGTGCTCTGTGTGCGTGCGTGCGTGAATGGATGGATGGTAGTGTGTCTCCAGGAACCCTCTCCTTGGCTTGGTCCATCGATCCTGCGCAAGTCGGCGATGTCCTGGCACATCCAGCAATGTTCTTTCGCATCAGCGGCTGCCAGTTGGGCGTGACAGGGTGTGGCACACTGGTAAAAAAGCCTGCATACCCACATTCCGATATCCCAGGATGTGAAGCAGGTTGTGGGTGACGGCGACTGCGCTGTGGTTGGCGGGCAGCGGGAGAGAGGGTGTGAAGGGCAGCAGGGATAAGTATGGGGAAGAGAGATGGACTGAACCAGGGGCGCGCGGAAACCCCAGTACGCCAGCCTCCCTGCCAGTCGGTGTTGGTGATGGTGTTGGTAGTCATGCTGCTTGGGGGTGAGGCCACGTTGGTGCCGTTGAATGTCGGTGGCCTGCGGAACTCGGGCGAGGGAATATGACGAGTCAGAAGCAGGCTCGAAAAGGCTGTGCGACAACAATGCTATGGGAGGGGGAACAATGGGATGGGCGTCAAAACGAGAGGAGGAACGAAACAACGGATATTATTTGATCAATCAGCGAGGAGGAGAAGAGGAAAGTGCAGGCTGCATGCATTGTCATGTGCAGCCACCACTCAGGGCTCGCGGCTGGTGGAAATAGCGGCGCAGATTAGTGGGAGAGGCGCTGTGGGTGCAGCGGGCCCGGCAGACTGGGCACCTCTCGGCCAGTATTGATGATGCTACAGCAGAGGGCGAGTGGTCCGCTTATTGCGTGCTGCAGTCACCCGACAGCTGAGGCCAGCAACCGCTGGTGTCTGGGCGAGAGCTAGTGGGCGAGTAGTGTCTGGACGTTGGGGCGCTAGTCGGGGCCGCTTTGGCATGGAGGATCATCGTAGTCGCGTAGTCTGGACGATGCTGGATGTGTGCATGCTCGTCGCGGAAGACAGGGAGGGCTGGCTGGTGGCCGAGGGTCGATGGTCAAGGATGGAGCATGTGGCCCGTCTGGCGCTACGCTAAGCTGGATCGATGCAGTAATAAACCAGCGGCTCGAAACAGAATCGAATCACACACCGCACCGCTCGCAGACTGACAATACACGTAACTTATTTGCTGTTGCGATCAGATCAGACCCGCCCGCGTTTCCCATTTCGATCTTCTCATGGCAACGTGACCACCGGCCCGGCCCAGCGTCGTCTCTGGTCCTCGAGGGCCCTTTATTCATCATGTCTTCTCATCCCGTCTCTCGAGTCTCCCCAGCAGAAACCGGCCCTGGCTTGCGTCCTCTGTTCTGAGCTGTTCTGTTGTTTCTACACCGGCACACATAACCCAGATCCTCCCCCACATCTTGGATTCTTCCCTTGCCACTCATCCATCCACTACGTTCCTGATCTTCTCGACTTGCCATTTCTCCACCCAACAAGCACCGTCGAGCGGCAGCTACTTTGGCTCCCAGCGGGACCTCCCCATTGCATTCCTCCACCTCCTCCACACGGTTGCGCCCGCACAGCAGACGCTAGGCAAGGCCCGAGCTTGACTCCCGTCCGAATCTCCAGCACGAGCCTCTTCAACTGCATGGAGTGTCTTCTGGCCCGTCGCCGCTGCAGGACCCGATTGATCATGCCAAGAAAGTGACCGAGGTTCGCCAATCTTCCTCGTGCGCGTCCTCTCTCCCCAGGGCTATACGAAGAGGTCGACAAGTTGGGCAGAACACCGTTGTTTCCCGCCAAGCTGCGTTTGAACGGGGCTCCTGGGCCTTTGATCTGGCTCCGATCCGATGCAAATCCACGACGCCCACTCGCCCACCGAGCCCTTGGACTTCCTCCAGGCCTGGGTCAAGGTCCACCACCTGGACACACCCGCGCCTGGCCAGCCCACGCCAGCCGCCGCCGCGCTGCTCTCCGCCGTCCCGCGGTCCCCCGCCGTGCGAGATGAGGCCATCCAGGCGCTCCTGGGCGCCGGCGTGTGCATCTCCCTGACGGACGGCGGCGCCTGCAAGGCCACCGCGGTGGACGAGACCGCACGATGCAATCGGAGGCCGCCTGCGTCCTCCTCGGCCCAGCGCCGCATCACCTTCCGTGGGGACCGCGTCTTCAAGTTCGAGCCGCCCGGCGCCCAGCTGCAGCCGTTCAACTTCGCCAGCTCCCACCGCGACGGCATGGCCGCCGGCCTGCTCAAGAGGGTGCGCCACGGCCTCGACGTGGACGGGCCCAACACGGCCGACCTGGGGTGCAAGAAGCGGCGGCTGCGGACCGAGCTCATCACGAGCCGGCTGTCCCACGCGTACTCGCAGCCCGCGACGCACATCCTCAACCGCGAGGGGCAGAAGTCGGGCGACAAGCGGTTCCTCAAGATGGCCACCTCGTCCGTGGCGCCCGTCGCGCGGAGGCTCGCCCACCTGAGGGCGACGTCGTACATACGGTACTCGACGATGAACCGCCTGAGGCAGAGGCTCGGCATTCCGTGGCCAATGATGATACCGGTGACGGTCCCGGATCACGGACAGCCGCAGGCAGGCTCGGGGAAGCAGAAAGACGCCGAAAAGGATACCAAGGAAGCCCCCACGAGTTTGTTCGAGCTCAAGTCCAAGACGCAGTGGCGGCCTCCATCGCTGCTCACTGCCTCGCGCGGGCAGTTTGTGCCGCTCGAGGTAAAAGCTGCAAATCATAAGCCAGCTTTGGCCTCATCAGCTGCTACGTCGTCACGGACCTCATCTGCCTCATCATCCCAGGCTCCCGCGTCCATGCCTTCCCGGTCGCCTTCACCCTTATCGTCTCGGCTACCACTGGCCTTGCCGCCTCGGCCTCCATCGGCTTTGCAGAACCGGCCCACATCCCAATTGGACTCGTCACCTTCCCGAAACAACAAGGCCCTCTCCCTCTCGCCCAAACCTGCATCGTCCCCTGCCCATGCAGCTGATGCAGGGGCGGCAAAGGGCAAGTCGTCGGGACCTGCTCTCCCCGTCTCCTCGCCTGAGCGACCGCCTAGAAGTTCCTTCTACGACAACCTGGAAGAAGACAGCTTCGCGTCGCGCCACCTGATTGACGACGACTTCAATGATGCTGTGGACGACCCGGATGAGGTGTACTCGGACTTTAGTGTAATATTTAGTACCAAAAAGAAGAAGAAGGGCAAAAGAAAGAAGGAAGACGGCTGCAGGAGCGGTGAAGGGGAGAACGGGGGCGAGGGGAGCGGTTCGGACGACGAGGACGGGTCATACGAGGAGTTTCTGGATGAGCTCGACGGCATCTCGTGGGTGGCCTTCTAGACGCATCGCATGGCGGCATTGCATTGCATTTACCATAAATCAAAAATCACGGGGTTTGTATATTTAGACTATGGCGGGGATTTTTCAGACACAGTTTCTGTCTACTGAGGTGGCTACGGTACTGGCCAGGACGGGTTTTCTTCATGCTCTGGTGTTGGGAATTGGCATGGCTGCATGGGAAGGGGCAAGGATTTTTTACTCGGATACAAAGGCGAAAAAAAAAAGGTGACTATGGAGGATTATTATGGCTATTGCGGGTGTTCACGATTGATCGAGCGCATGGTTTGGTGCTGAATGTTAATTGTATTCAGCTATTTGGCTGTCCATCAAGAACAACTTGTTTCTATTGATGTATCTGTTCATGTTTCATCATCATACGTGAAAGCGAGGTTCAACCTCACCACTTATATAAACCCCAAACATCTTCATCTTCTTTCCTTCAAGCCGCCACCAAGCAACCCCAATTTACTCCCGGCCGGAGAACGAGCCCCGCATGGCCACATCCTTGTCGTACATGCCCGACTCCTTCTTCATGTGTTTGTCGAAGCTCTGCGTCGACAGCTGCACCTTCTCGAAGAACGAGCGGTCGAGCACCGGCGCCGCGGCGGGGAGCTGGCCGCGCGACCGGGCCAGCTCGGACTGGTTCGCGTGCGCGTGGATGGCCAGGCTCGAGGCGATCTGGAAGGCGCTGCGGATCTGCCGGCCGTTCCAGCAGCCGGTGGAGCGGGCGAGGTCCTCGTAGTGCTTGGTCGCGAACTCGAGGAGCTCGGCGTCCTTGATGACGAGGGGCGCGTCGCCCGTCATGCGGTGGCGCTCGGCCTCGATCTCCCTCAGCTTGGCGATGTTGATCTTGAAGATGTCGCGGGTCTGGGTCTTGTCGAGGGGTGGCTGTTGGGGCACACACGGTTAGCAGCTGCGTGGTGTTGAATTCGGGGGTGAGGAGAACGCGGAAACTTACGTAGTAGAGAGACAGGTGGATTCTGCTCTTGAAAGCAGCGTCAATTTGCCCCACTCTGTTGGTGGTTAGGAAGAGAAGTCCGTTGTAGTATTCAAGAACTCGCAAGAAGACGGAGACGAGGGCGTTGCGCTTCATGTCGAGCTGGGATCGCTGCGACAAAAAGACATCAGCTTCGTCAAGAAGGAGGCAACAATCCCAGAGGTGTGCAAGACGGAAGACATTCTTGAGAGAAGATTCGACTTCGTGGGGGGAGAGACCGAGGTCACCGCACGTAATCACGAACAGGGGCTTGCGGTTCTCCATGGCGACGGCCTCAGCCGTCGCCGTCTTACCCACACCGGGAACACCGTGCAGTAGCACAACTAAACCACGGCCCTTGCCCTGGATCAGATCCTGGTTGGGGCCTTCCATGGCGGAGTCGGCGTAGCGGCGCTCGAGGGCCTTGCGCTGGAAGTGGGACATGACCAGCCCGCGGACCACGTCCTTGTAGTCGGACTGGATGCGCAGGTTCTCGAACACGTTGGGCTCGCGGCGCACGGGGTTCAGGAAGTTGAGGTCGACGGGGAGGAAGCGGCGCTCGCGGAGGATGTAGGCGAACATTCGCTTGGGGACGAGGACGAGGTCTTCGTCGCGGAGCTTGAGGAGGGCGGGGTTGGTCTCGAAGGTGCGGGAGCCCTTGACGCGGACGCGGAGGAAGGCGTCCTGGTTCAGATTGTCGCGGCGCTGGCGGACCTCGACGCCGTCGGACTTCTGGACGATCTCGGTCTGGGAGTAGGCCAGGGACTGGCGGTTGCCGTCGAACCAGTGCTGGACGGGCATCTCATCGTCCTGGGCCTCGCAGTTCATCGAGTGGTTGATGGCGAGCTGGTGGAAGCTGGGGCGCCAGTCGGGCATCTTCTGGTATGCCTCGCGGAGATCGACGATCACGTCACTCTCGACGAACTCCGGGTGGCGCATCTTCTCGTAGTCCTCGCTGTCGAGGATCTCATCATCGGGATCGTCACGGTGGCGATGCGAGGGTGGGTTCCTGGTGAGCGACCAAGCGCTGTACTGCTGGTGGCGGTCGTCAAGGTAGTCAATGAACTTGCGGCCCTGGTCCTTGAGCGACCCGATGAGCTCCTCGTGCCCATGGCGGTAGCGGATGGGGAAGATGTCGAGCGAGTCGATCTGGCGCTCGCCGATGAAGGGCTCAATCGTGAACTCCTTGCGGACAGCACCGAAAGAGCTGCCGTCGTGGTCAATGTAGTAGGCCTTGATTTTGAAGTTGTTGCTGTCATCGTTGCTGCCGAAGAAGTCGTCGCCAAACTCCCATCCAAGGGAACGGTCTGCGACCTCGGGCTCGGGAACAGTGACCTTGTAGGTACGCCAAACCTCGTGGTATCGACCACCGGCCTCACCTGCAGCGGGCATGTAGATGAGGTCGCCAGCGCGGAAGAGGTACCAGAGGTCGTCAAACTTGACCTTGTCGACTTCGTTTCCGTCAAAGCGGGTGTGGAGAGGCATGACCTCCTCGTCAATGAACTTGACATAGCATCGCATGTCCCTGAGAGCCTCAGGAGAGTCCATCAGGCTGTCAACGTCCTCATCAACGTTGGAATCGACAGACTGAAGAGACTCAGTGTCATCATCGTCGTCACCGCCCTCTTCATCTTCGCCTGACTGGGCCTCCTCGTCCTCCTCCACAGCATCGTCAAACTCCTCAATGTCATCAACCTCGATAGCCTCCTCCTTGGAAAGCTCCTCAACGCTCTCTGATGGGGCCTCCTCAAAGTCGGCCCACTTCTCCTCCAGAGTAGCAAGAATCTCCTTCATCTTGGGCTGGAAGTAAATCAGGGGCTTGAAGGGTCGCATGAATGTGCGGGGAGTAGACCTCGTGTTGGACTCGTTCATCAGCGAGGTCAGGTATCCCAAGACGGGCTGTGACTGGACACGGATACGCGAGATCTCAGTATCGGTAGACTGCAGCGCCTCGGTACGCTTGGCAATCTTGGCCTTGTCAGCGGCAGTGATGGGCCGTCTCTTGCGCTCGTAGGCATTGTCGTGGATATCAAGGTACTTCTTGCGCATGCGGGCCAGATCCTCTCTGTGCCTATAGCCGCGCTCTCGGCGCATCTGAGCAGAGATACTGGGGCCCACCATGAGAACATCAACGGCGGCATCGGGCTCGTCGGTTCCGCCAAAACGGTTCTTGAAGTTCTCGAAGTTGACCTTGCGGATCTCGGGCACCTTGGGGCGCCACTTTGCCTCAACACGGCGACGGTCGGCCAAGATGCGCTCACGGCGCTCTGCCTCCTCTTGGAGGGCCATGAAGCCAATATCATTCCCGCGAGCAGCACGGGAAGGGGCATTGCGGCGCCCACCGCGAGATGTCTGCTTGGTGCGAGCCATGGTTGTGTCTGAGTGAACGAAAGGAGTAAACGACTAAACAAGCAGCAAGTTTATGTGACCCTAGAAAGCAAATGTGATAAGGAGACGTGAAGATGAGGTATTGAGTAGGAAGGGAGAGATACAGAGGAATTCATCTTGATTAGTTGGGGACAGACCGTGAGATATAAGGTCGGCGTCTCTGGTATCTCGTGGGGTACGAGGTTGATGATTCACACCGCTGTGCCGCTTAGACGAGACCGTGAATTCACCTGTAGCGTCCATTCATGTGGGTCAGCAGGCAGCAGTTGGCAGTGATCGTTTCACAGCGTACAGCACGACAGCGCGTATAGCGATCCACGGCGTAGAGACCAGCACGGCCTAGCACTAGGTCAGCGCAGATCTCAGCACGGCACAGCCCCAGCTCCTCGTTAATGCAGGCTGCCTTGGCCATCAAGCAGTCAGCCTGCAATGAGACGGACCCAAGTGGAAAAACAGGGACCACAGAGCCACCTCGACAGAACAATAGTAATTGTCGCGGTCACATAATATCGCTTCTTGTTGTGCAATAATAGGTAATATCATCCAAAAATTGCTCAATAACCAGTTTTACGTATTGCTATAGATATTGTGCCCGTCTTGAACAAAATAAAACACCTCTGTAGTCGGTCCCTGTCACTCGAACGCGCTGAAGCGCCACCGCTTGATAATGCGCCACTATAATCTCACTAGCAGCAAGCTTCAGGCAGCACAGCCCAATCTCTCCAATGCCCTCACTGCAGGGACATTTCTGCGGTCCAATAGTTTGCGGAGCTACCCTCCAGCTGAAACTCGGCACTCAGAGCTGACAAAGAAGCGTGAAGTCGGTATGATTCACACCCCAGGGCCCCCGCTGCCTGCCTCTCAGCTCCTGTCTCCTTATCTCGCGTCTACCTACTTGATAGGGCAGCGGATAGTCTTGCGTCACCCATCCACGACAAGCATGTCCATCCTGCTGAGCTGACTTGTCTGTTCTGGGTCATAATTTTGAGTTTAATGCATCTGTCATTGTCAGTTGGCGTTCAGGCCTGGGAACGATGCACTAACTAGGTACGATGCACCTGTTTGGACAAACCGGTGAGCCAAGCAGTGGGTGGAATTAAACTGGGCACACCAGAACGCCACAGCTCAGCCTCTAATCCCCCTGCGTCCATCTTTTGTCAGAGTTCCAGTCAATGTACCCCAGTGGCTTAGAACACGACTGAATTTTTAAAGAGTTGTTTTTTTATGACTTGAGCCTTGTCCTTCATTCTCTATACCACAGCTGTTAGCTCGACTATATATATTATACTTGGAAGAAATGCTTGCCTTACACCTTGCTTGGTTTGAATAGGGGTCCTATATCCACCCACTACTTTTCTCTTAACTACCTACCACCTTATGGCTTAACTTGAGGCGTAAGACTGATACCGCAGTTAGAGGACGAAGGCCTGTAAAATTCAACCTATTAGGCTATATTATTTAGCTGCTGAAGATAGCTTCTTGCTTGACCTCTGATCTAACTGTCTATATTGACCTGCCAGCTAGCTACTGCTCGAGACAGCCTCTTCGTGTGCTCGTGATACGGCTGTCTAACTGACCCGACGAATTGGCTGCTGCTCGCGACAGCCTCCTCTTACGCGTATGACTTAGCTGTCTGTGTGAGACTGGCCTTGGTAGGGGTGTATAAGTTAATTGCGGTATCGGATGTTAAGCTACAAGGTGGTGGGTGGTTAAGAGAAAAGTGGTGGGTTGATATGGGACCACTTTGAATACTAAGGCAGCCGCATACCATTGGCCCACGAGTACCTGAAACAGGCAGCTATAAGCTCAGGATGCAACTTATTGTGTTTCTCTGTATTGCTCGGTAGTTACACCACCAAAATTCGCAGAGCACTCTACCTTTTCCACTCTAACACACACAACTCTTCGCATCTCTTCCTCAACCCCAATGTTCTTTCCTTCTACGGCACATTTTGAGACACAATAAGCATTCCAGGAAAACTACTTAAAGCCCGCCCCCCCCCCCCCCCCCCCCCCCCCCGGTGCTTTTCTGAGAAAACTCTTCCTCCTTCACCCTCACACATCCGCACCCGCCGCCTCTGATCCAAACCACAAGCACCGGAGAACCAAATCTCCTTTATCGTTTGTATATGCCACGATCCCATAACCATGCGATACCTTGTTGCTAACACATAATTGCAGAATCTTCCACGCGTTCACACACTTGCCGCCGATTCTTCTCCGACGACTTTCCCTCTCCGACGACAATAGCACAAGACCCCAACGACAAGATGACCCAGGACACTAGCGACCTGCTCAAAAACGAGGGCTTCACGGCCGCTGACGTGTGCATTGGAGCTAGATGCAAGGGATACCAGCACTATGAGGGAATGGTCATAGCGCCATTTTTGTGTCGTGGCTCGATTGGCGCCCAGGCCGTCTCTGGTACGCCGAAGAAAGACTCTGCTCCAATTAACGGCTACTTGGTTGGAATGAACAATTTGGGCCAACCGGTAATTGCAGAGGTCCCCAACGCCCTGAAACAAGATATGGAGGTGGGCCAACTGCTGGGCTCCCCCTGCTTCCGCAAAACAATCTTGTGCAAGTCTATCGACGGAAAGCCTTTGCGGGAGTGGGTTCCATTTAACTCTTTGTTTGATGCCAGTTGCTTGGCGGATGTCAAAGTTGCTTCATGGAACACGAAGCAAAAGCCATCCCAGGAGAATAGAGAGGGACGCGAAAGGGCTGTCGAGAACCGAGTTTTCCAGTCACTTTCTCAAAATGGTCTTCCCTTCTCCTCCGAGAGCAACCAAAAGCATGTGCTGGACCCAATTCTTGTTTTCCAAGGGCATAATGACCACAAGTCACGGCGGACTAGGCTTGTCAATTTGGAAAGCTACAAGTGCGTTGACAAGTTGGCGAATCAAACTGCCTATGAATTCTTCACACTTCCTGCCTTCGGTTTGACAATGGTGGATATTGGCGAAGATATCTAGGAGATAGCCGCCAAATTCCAGAAAGAAAACACCACGACTTATATCACCAAAGTACAGATTATCTACGCTGCACTAGTGTACTTCTGGATGACCGAAGATACCGAGAATCGCGTTGAAAAGATTTGTGGCATATCTATTAACGCTGAAATCAATGCTGGCGTTTTTATTGCTTACTTTGGCGTCTACCTCAAGTACCACGAACTTCTCAGATTGGGGGCCTACACCCACCCTCTTGACCTTGTATCAGAGTGGTACAAGAATGATTGTGGTTACTCTTCTCTCTTTAGAGTCGACGGAAAATGGGGTGATGCTTTCAAGCCTCTAAAGGATATGGGAATTGTACCCTTTGCTTTCCTGACTCCGGCAATGATGGAGGGTTCCGCACTTGGTGGCCCATTTCTACCAGTACAAGGACTTTCATCAACGTCCAAATGGGAGTTAACCGATATCCACCATCGGATGGGTTTGGGTTCGATTTGGACCATCGGACCGGCGACTCTGCCTTCTAAGGATCCCGTTTCTGGCGACCAACTCAGGCCCCTCCACGATTGCTACGCACTACCTAAGCATTGGCTCGGAGAATTCGAACTGGCATCATATACCAAAGTGACATCCAGCGATCCTGCAACGACCGGACTTGAACCAATCTTGTTAAAGAGGAAACCCTTGGCCAAACGCCTTTCGTCTCCTGGCTTAGCGGAGTTGCAGGAAGCCACTCTGTTCCGGGACCAAGATGATACGGTGAGACTGTACCCGGTTGGATTCAGATTTGGCTTCGACAGAGTGCAATTTAATCCAGGATGGACTTGCCATCTTCCCAGCAAAGCCGGCCTCCTCTGTGCTCTTCACCGTTGCCACAGGATTTCGGATCCCGATCTGGTTCCCAACAATGTGAAGATGGAGATGGCTGACGCAACTATCCATGAATCTTTTCTCCTCAATTTTGCGTCTAGCCGGTCCAAGAAGGATGATCAAAAGCTCCCAATTGGCCTCGGTGGGCCAATCAGGCTAAAGGAGATCACCAACCCTGATGACGAAACCACTTGGTCGTCATTGAATGAAGAGCTTCAGTACTCGGTACCCAGGATTCGTGAGCCGTACCCAGCACCATCAAAGCCTGAGCCTCCAGCAGCACCAGGCAGTTCGACGCAACAGTTCCAGTCTCAAGGGCCGAAATCGACACCGGAAAAGGTCTCGGAAAAAGACCAGCTCAAGCAACTGAAACAGGAGAACGACAAACTCCAAAATAAGCTCAACAAGGCACAGGAGCTGGTAAACAAGACCTCGATAGAGCTAGTGACCAATTTGGAGGCTATCAATTCCACTCTGACCACGGAAAATTTGAAGCTACGACTTGAAAACAGACCATTAGAGATGGATTTAGCAAGATACGAGGAAGCTCCACCAGAGCTGCACAGTTCTGGACCTTTGGACCCGCAACAACAAAACTTCAATCAGCTGCTAGCAGAGCTTGCCTCTGCTAAGCAAGAAGTTCGAGAGTTGAAGGCTCAAAAGGAAGCCGACAATTTATTGATCAAGCGACTCCAATCTAAGGTCACGTCTCTCCAAGAAAGCATCGGCACTCCCTTCGAAATTGACGCCATGAAGAAGGAAAAAGCTGGGCTCCAATCGTCCATAGAAAAGAAGAACAAGGAGCTTGCACAGGTCAAATTGGAGTGTGCGGAAGGGCAGGAAGACCGTTACAAACAACTTCTGGATGACCATGAGAAATTGGCTGCTGGGGCTGACTATACGGCGCATCTGGATCTACAAGAGGCCAAGAAGGAGATTAGAGATGCCAAGAGGGATATTACAGAGCTCACTGAACAAGTGGAAATGTGCAGAGGATACATGGAGGATGGAATTGAGCCAAATACAGGGAATAACGCAGGTGCTTTGGTCCGTACCAAGTGCCAGAAGAACAGGGTGCCCGACATGTTCGTCAACACCACCTATTCAGCAATAAAGCGAAAGGTGGAGGAAGATCTCTACACTGGCGGAGAGGAGCGACAAGCCAAGAGGCTCAAGGTTTCGCGGCTCATGGCATTTCCCGGGCTTGGATCACCCAGTCTGGAAGGTGTTACTGATTTTATCTTCAGTGCGCAAAATGAGGTCCTACGCGTGGCCGCAAAGGGTGGCTTAATTAACGCTGTCCATTTTGAGGTCACCCCTCGTGGAATAATAGGCATTACCGAGCTTGGTATGAACCGAATTGATCTACAGCACAAGTATCAATCTGAGCCAAAGATGGTGGAGAATTGGAACACCGCAAACGGGGCGAAGCATTCAAGCCACATACGAGATATCATTATTGAGCATCAGTTTGCAAACTACGCCCACCCTTCCATGCGTCCCCTAGCAGATGCTCTCGTTCATCGGGGCAAGGATATGACCATGGAATCCCTGTCAGACCATCTGGTGGCCATTGAAGACCACACCAAAGACGATGTAGGCAAGCTGGACTCTTACATCTTTCATATCAAGAATCGATCTGTTCGGGGTCGAGGAGAGCAGGTTGACAAGAAGGGACTCACAGAGGTTCTTCAACGCTTGACAATGTCTCACGATAACGCCACGTGTAGCGCTTACGTGAGAATGATGATGAAGGATGTTGATTCCGTGAGGATGGTTTATAGTTTTCAACTACCCATCGAGAAAGTATTCGAGGGCTATCGGAAACTCTATGCGGCCAAGGGCAAGGTCGCTGAGTCGATGCAGATCCCCCGTCACTACTTTGCACCAGCCGCACCGCGAATCCAGGAGTGAACGACGGGCCTTTCGCGCTTCATACCGATTTCAATGGAATGGATCCTTTGCTATCACAATTTCCATCCCAATTTGTTTTTATAGGAGAGCAAAATTGACCATTTCGGTCTAGGAAGTACGACATCGAATTACAAGGGGAACGACGATCGCACGGGTCAAATTAGAGTATGTTGATGGCCAATAATGGAAGGTTTAATGCCTCTGGATGAGCTTTCATGAAAAGTTTGGGTTGCGATAGGTAGATAGATACCTTATTCAGTGATTGCGATGGTCAATCAGAAAGTTATTTCACCATGGCGCAACGACGGCCAATACCACCGCGACATGACGCCTCGCTCGTGATGACTTCGAAACCTCAAATCAAGCCGCCTTGGCGCAATCCGACCACAATCAACCCAGTGGGGACCCCCCGAATTGGTATGGCTAACTCAAAGGCGGTAGTCGTGCGAATTTTTCAGTTCCAAGCGAGCGTGAAAAGCTTCCGCAACGCTACAAAATTGGATACCTTTGTGGCAACAAATTTTCATAAGTACCTTGGTAAATTCTCTCTTTTTTGCCCCTTTTTTTTGCCTGTTTGGACGTACCACGGCAAATTGTTTTACGAAAAGCTAATCTGCGGTAAGAGCATCTGGAATTTGCTTTGAGGACATGGCGGCAAGTTCTATCGCTACCTACCCAACTACCTTACCTTATTAGGACATGCTGTCTTTTCCTCACTTTGTCGCCCTTCTGAGATTGTTTCTTGATTGCATAGTACACTGTTTTTGCTTGAGCAATGTAAGTTTGGCCACCTGGGCAAGCTTCGAGTCGAACTTAGCTAACTGGGAAATGTGTATCAATAGCCGCCGCCCCCACGACACAATGCCGAGTCCGCTGAAAGCCCACATCCTCTCCAAGAAAAGCCTGGCACAGGAGACATCGAAGTTTGCCGTCATATCTAATTGACGATCCAGTGGCAGACGAACGAGCACCACAGGGCAAGCCGCCAAGCCCCCACGAGCGTCGATGGTACTAGATCGGCTCCTCGTGGTATGTTTACTTTATCGATGGGTAGGTATCCGGGCAAGATAGCTACCCGCGAAGCAGGAGGTGTTTACTGACACGGTAGGGATGAGGGTTGGACTGCCCTGACACTGTTATCCTGCCAGTGACAGTCTCAGTGGCTCATATGATGTCCGTTTCGGAAAGCATATGGAAATTATGATTGACGATGAGACAAATGCGAAATACAGTATGGTGTCTAAGTCAGGACGGCATTGCTCTTATGGTGATGGTGGGTTTGAGATGGTGTTGCGTCGGCGACACGTCTTGACCCTGACATCGATAACTGCATCACAATGTCAGGCTACAACATACTATTAGGTACCTACTAGGTAGTAGGAGGTTGGGGGGTTTCAAAGTATTATCTTGCGGCCATGCTAGCAGCCGAGCTGGGTGTCACAAGGGCTCTTCCCATAAAATCTAGCCACCTTGCCTATATATCCTCCTTCAGAACATCATTTCAATTTGAATATAGCTATCTGCCTCTGGATCGATATTCTAGTTCTACTGGCACCCTCATTTTGATGCCTAATTGAAGCCATATTAACCTTGAAGCCGTAAAATAGGCCAGGCCACAGCGTTGGCCGGCGAGGATCCCCAGATATACATTTGCTTTGAAGGTAGACCATTGTTATCCTAAACCTTTCTATCTATCCAAGTGTTCCAATGCTGGAATGTCTATTGATTCTTGCTCTTGCTTGTGACGATCCATCACGGCGACATTCTCTTCTTCCAGGTGCTCAATTAGGTAGAGTGTTGCTGCGTCCCAGAATGAATCTCCAACAATGCCCTTTTTCAAGTCTTCCTCCTAGGAAGGGGCTCGGCCGTTGTCGCTCATCGGACTTGCTGTCGTTGCTTTGGTAAATTAGCTTAGTAGGCGCAAAACAACTGTGAATTATAGGGATGGACTTACCAAATTGATATCAAATTGGAATCTTCAATCATCGTGAGGTGGCGCTTCATGCACAGGTGAATTGAGTGTGAAGGGGGTAAGTGTAATGATCTGCTCCAATGCACCAATCGTGTCTATGATAGGGCTTTGACGCTACGCCTTATCATTTAATGGGAGTTGTGATGGAACATTCAGCACTCTAGTATATATTCATTATAGGATCATTGAGATTGATATAACGCCTGACTTTTATTTTATGGGCTAATAGGGTCTCTAGAAATTGAAGATTAATAATCTCTGTTGTATCTAGATAGACCCTTAATCCCTGGTACTTCACGAAATAACACCAGCAATTGAATCCCCTGAACTTTTCCCAGTATCATGAAATGTCTCATTTCGCAGCCCAATTGAAATACCCCTAGCAAAGTCTACGGTAAATGCCGCCGTCCCAAAGGGCCTAGAATGCCTTCAACAAGGGTCTAGAAGCATGCCTAAGTGGTAGGCTACTCGGAGTCTATCTCCTCTTCGACAATGCGTGGTGCCGCAGGCGCAAAGTAATGCGCCGGGAATTTGATGCTTTCAATCTTGGCACTTGTTGCGTACAGCGCACGGTATCCGTTGACCATCTTCTCCAGCTCACCAATGAAGACGAAGGCTATGAGAAGGCCCTCATCGGCCTCGATCATCTTGACATACTGCCTGACGCCCTCATCGACCGGCGAGCGGGAGAGGCGGCGCAAAACTGCCAGCAGCTCTCGTTTATCAATCGAATTCGTTCGCAAGGGCCTATTTAATTCCTTGATATAGGCTCTAAGCTTCTTGACATCATCCTTGGTGTAGGATTCCATAGCCATCAAATGTTCACGAAGAACCTCCACAGATAAGTCCCTGCCATCCTCAAGTTGCTTGACAAGGTAGTAGAGGGAGGGGTGGCTATGGTCTTGGAAACCACTCTCATTGATAATTTGGCGGACTTCCTTTGAAAACTGCGCCCCTCGAGTTGATTTCCAATCCGCAAGCAATTTGGGCTCCGATTTGAACCGATGGAAGAGGTCAATCCTCTCCATCCCGAGGGGAGTGATGCCCAAAATACCCCGCGGCGTGATGTTAAAATGAAGGTGGTTGATCAAACCACCCTTTGCTGCCACGCGTAGCACCTCATTTTGGGCAGTTGAAACAAAACAGCAAACGCCATCCAAGTTTTTATCCGAAAGGCCCTCGAATACCATCGAGTCAGTAGTGCGGAGCCTCTTGTTTCCGAGTTGGTCGGTGGCGTACATTTCCTCTTCAACTTTGCGCTTTGTCCCCACGTAGCTGGTACCGATGAACTGCGCAGGTATCTGGCTTCCTTTTTGGCCCAATGTACGCTCACCAAAGTTCCGGTCCTCCTCGGTAAGGCCGAGAATTTCGTTGTGCATGTCGAGCTCTGCCTTCAAGTCCTCGTTCTCTTCCTTGAGGTCATGGACGGTGAAGTGTGCTGTTAGGTAGAGCTCTTTAGCGACGCGCTCGTGCTTTTCCAGGAGGCTCTCGTACTCCTCTTCGCTGGCTAGGTCTTTCTGCGCCTGGAGTTGCTCAATCTGACTGGTAAGGCTAGTGACGGATTTTTCGAGCCCTTTCTTGTCCCTCTGCAGGGCCTCAATGTCGAACTTTAAGCTGAATGCTTTGCGAGTTTCATCCAGCTCAGATTGGATGCGTTTGGTATGCAGAAGGGAGGCCTCGTTCTGCACCTCATGGTCTCGAATCTTCTCCTTAAGGGCGGCTACTTCTCTCCTTAGCTGAGTCCTGGTCATCTCCCTCTGGGTCGGGGCTGGGCCTGAATTGAGAGCATTTGATGCAGGTTCTTCGTGTACTGCCAATTCCGCCTTCAATTTGGCATTTTCAATGCGTAGCCTCTCATTCTCCAATTTGAGCTCCTCGTTGCTGGCTCGCTGGTGCTCGGACATCGTTGCTTGGATGGCGCTGGTGTTGTTTATGCTGCTGCCGGGAGAGTAGCTACACGCAGGTTAGCTGCAGGGTTGCAATGTAAGGTTGGGCATTTGCATACAGAGGGGCCGTGATAGTGATACTACTGAGGTCGTTTGGGTTGCTTATTGGACAAGTAGCTACATATAGGTTAGATGCTGGGTTGCAATATAAAGTAGGGAGGGGGAATGTGCATACGGACGGGTGGTGATGGTTGTGATGAAAGGGAGAAGAAGTTTTCCTTGAGCCAGGGGGGGGGACGCAGGCCTTAAATAGGTTGACCTTGCATTTAGGAAGTAGCGAACAATGTAGAAAGATGCCTACCTGCCCTATAGACAGGTCTACAAGCGTTGAACAATAACAGACAATATATACGACGTGGTGCTCAAGGTCGGCGTCACAGAAAAGTAGTGGTCTGTACTTGATAGGTACCCATATCTTGGTGCAGCTGCCACTATTCTTGATGTACCTTGAGGTATCCACCCACCTCTTAAAGAAGTATTAGGATATCAGGCTCACGGCGCGTTTTCACTCCACTCCACGGAGGCAGGTAGTACCTAAACCTCGAGCATAGATTTACATCTCTGCCATACCAAGACCCAAGCTCACAACTTCAACCGTCAGCCACTCGATTTCCAACAGCCAGCTTTGAGAATCTCCTTCCACACCATCCTACACCCCGCCACCTACCAGTAAGTAAGTAGTGTGTCCATCAGCTTCCTTGCTGCTATAATTGCGCATGCTTTGCTCGTTATTTGGAGCTACCTAATTGATCCCGCTTGAGACTAACCTTGCCCAAACACAAAAGAGATAACAGAGTGCCGCCCTCCTCGATAACAACACGTCTTCGATCACGGAAAATATCTTACGAGGGCTTGGCCTAACCATGGCTGCCGCCGGCTTCAAGTCTGAGGGTCCAATCGTCCTCACTCCGTGGGTACATCGTCCTACCAATTTGCTCGCCCTTAGGTCGCCACTGAGACGATATTGCTAGTTCTGTTTGCGTTTGCAAAAGTTGTTATAAGGCCCAGGCTACCTGGAATGCTGGGGCTCGTCTCACGTAGGTATCTTACTAAAGCGAGTAAGGATTATACATCCCTCTTGCTACCTGCTTGCTACCTGCTTGTTATTTACCTTATATCTAATGTACGTACTTAGGTCCTCAAAGTGCGATCCATTGAGGAGGGCTTTGCCATCCTCAAAGGCACCGCGTAGCCTCATGCTGCTGAACTCGACGTTTTCTTTCCGCCGTGGAGAATTCCCTATATGTTACTACCTAGTCGATTGCTTAGGTCTAGCTAATGTATTGCAGGGGAGCGCCTTTACTGGTGCTCAACTCTCTGCCCGCTACCGCCTCAATGCGATCAAGACGAAGCCCGGTGCTGTCCTCAATTAGCAACTACAATTCATCGAGCAGGAGACGAGCAGCGCTCGCTAGGGTTTCCAGGACTAGGCTCTCTTCGACCAATTGATCGCTCTCTGTGCCCCTTCTGAGGCCAACATGGTTGCCGCTGTAAGTTATTCCCTCCTGTTTGCCAATTGCTAGCCAATCGCTACCTAGCAGGCGGGTTTCACAGCACTCTCTTGCGGCCATGCTGGCAGCTGAGCATGCTACCACAAGGGCTACTCCCTCCACATAATCCAGCTGTCTTTCCTATCCTCCTTCTGAACATTATTTTTATTTGAGCATATCTATCAGCCTCTAAGATAATGCTTTGATTAAACCAGCAGCCTTATTCTTGATGCTTAATTAAAGATATGTTCAGTTATAAAATAGGCTCAGCCACAGCAATCACTTGCGAGGATGCCCAAATACACCTATGCTCCGAGACCCCCCTAGCGCGCGCAGGTAGCTATTTGCTAGCCTACTGGTCGAGGAAGGAGCTGGTCTAAGTCCGATTTTTTGGAAGCTTGATAATATGTTTTTCACGTGCTGGCAGTGCTCTTCGAACGAATCGCTAAAGATTAGGGTATCATCAATGTACGCACACGCGTACACGCGATGAAGATGTAATAATTGGTCTATGAATCTTTGCGCATAGGATGGACTATTCTTGAATCCCATGATTGCTACCTTCGACGTTTCCAAGCCTCTCGGGCTTATGATTGTCATTCGGTCACGGTGTCTCGTGACAACCGGCAGCTGCAATGGCTTACGATCTCCGAGAAATGGGCGACACGGCCAGGAAATATGGAGAGAAGGACCAAGCCGAGATTGAAACCGGCAAGGTGATCAAACACGTAGGTCTATTCTGCTATCTTGTGATCTTGGGATAATTGATATGTTGCATTGGCTAAACGTTGGTTCGGCTGATTGGTTTAGGGTAACCTAATAGTTATACCGTCGATGTATTAGTGCACCCGATAACTGCCTCTCCCCGAAAAAAACGTTGTCCCAACGTCTATCTAATCCTAAGATACCTAGATGATCCCATTGACGACCTGTTCTAATTGACCTATTGAAAATAAACCTATAAAAAAGCACTTTTCCACCCGAGAATACATTTGAGAATTTCAATCTAGCTCACCCCAGATGTTAATTATTCTATGTTTCGCTTGTACCCCTATTATTATTTATAAAATCGTTTCTCGTGAGCATTGATCCCGAACCAAATCGCAATATACTCGTCAGTCAAATGATCTACCCGCTCGTCAACGAATGTCGCGAATTAGCAGCTGGAAGAAGAAAGCGGATGCGTCGAACATCGTCATATACTTCTTTCCCCTAACCTTGGCGATTATGTTTTATTGACTTGGAATCGGATATACATCAGGGACGGCCGCCTTGTTCAAGGCGCAAAGATCGACGACGGCAGGCGTAGCCAAGAAAGACACCAGAACTGGTCCCCAACAGAAACTTCACGGCTTCAGTTCACCACGACAGAGTCAGGCTTCTTCCCGGAGAATATGGGTGGACCGATTGTCCATATGGATCCCAAGCTCATGCGATGGTGAGCCTCAAACAACTTTAATTAAATGTTTCTTGATAATGGTAAAAATGGACATCCCAAGTCCGATCCCTCCATCATCGCGGGCATTAGGAATGTGAAAGGTGCAGGGTGCTTTCCATTCAGAGCCTTTTCAGCCCTTGAAGCCTTAAGGCGAGAGATAAGTGGTGGTTCAGCGAATCGAACCACCAAGTCAAAATAGTTCTTCTGATCAAGATGCATCTTCCATCACGGCGAGAAATAACCATTGGAAAGTAGCGAGAACGTCTGTCTGGCCGACATTCTGGTACAATGACTCTTCGAGCAATACGGGGCGACTCCTCCCACTGCCTATGTACAGCGAAAAGAGAGCTGTACATACAGCCTGCTTTGTACCATTATACAATGATGTCAAGGGGTGAAGCTGGGCGCCTAATCTAAAAATTTCATGAAATTTTAAGTAGACGCCAAAATATGCGATGAAAATTCCAAGCTCAACTCGGGGCATTGCTACTCGAGCGCGGTTCAACTCAGGTCGACTCTCAGAGTCCTCGAAGATCCAGAAGTAAGTTAAAACAGCATAGATGATCTGAGATTTAGTGATGAAGGTTGTTGGGTTTTGGACCTGATACTGACGCGCCACGTCCTACATGTCATCGCTAATATCTAGCGCCCTGACCCTGAAGGCGGGTAGCGGAAAGTGCTCAAGGATGTTGCTTTTGGAGTCACCAGAATAATGCGTCTTGTACCTTTCCTAGTTGATGAACCTGGTGGATCGTGGAGTATGATCATCGTGGTTCTGGAAGACAAGGAGATCATCGAGCGGATGTTTAAAACCCAGAAGAGGGTTGTAGTCCGTTCTCGTACAGATGTTTGGAGATGTTGTTTTCAGCTGTGATCTGCTGGGGCTGACCCTTGGAATTGTTCCTCGAATTCCATGTAGTAATTTTCATATCGGCTAATTGCATGGCGTTGAAAAGTGTGTTGAATGGGGCCGAATGTTTTAGGACCTTGCTGTTGTTGTCCGAAGACTTGCAGATAATCTTTTGGCGAAAGCATGGGTTGGCGAGAAGATTGTCGGCATCGATGACTTTGAGATTGTTGTGGATGTAACCGACCATTGGCTGGCCCGAGCTCGTCATGCCTATAATGAAACCGTTGGTCGGGACATTGGAGCTCAACCCATTGCTGGCTGGTGATGAAGAGATGATATTTCCTCGTCGTAGGAAGAGCCAGCTCACTGGCCTCTTCGTCTTTGTGGGATGGGCAGTTGGCACCAATTGGCACACCAGAAGCTCGATATATGGTCGCTAGAGCAATGGGTAGGGTCTCGTTCTTGGTCTCTGATTATATCGCGAGGAGGCAAGAATCTGTTTCGTAATCGAGGATGTTCTCAGGGCTGACGTTCGAAAGTCGTCGTGTTGTGGATAAAGTCCATCCGCCTACGAAAGCTTGCGTAGAAAACAGTAAAAATGGGACAAGGCGTCGGCGTAACATTCACCGGGATAAAGGGGCTTTGACAAAAAGATGGACCACGAAGGAGCATATTTCCAAGCATTTAAGTATTGCCCTTGTTGATAATCATCAACACAATAAGTAGACAATAAACAGTTATTGTCTATTTGTGGTGTATTGCTGGTGTATTGTATTGGTGTATTGTTGCCTGTCATCCATAGTAATTGTTGGACATCATGCCAATTTCTTGACTGACACAATTCGCCTTTACACCCCATATCTTTGACGAGGTATCGCTTGCCAAATTCTTCTACCGGGATGGAACAATCGAATTCGGAATATTTCAGATGAGCGACTTCAGCGCTCTAGCGTCGCTCCTTGGCCTTGGCCACAAGTCGCGCCCGATGCGCGACCGCTTCATTGATTAATTCTTCATCCATAAAACATGTCAGTATTTCTTCGGCGCAAGGTTTTTTCCTAATCTATAATCCATAGAAGACTTACTAGATGGAAGGGACGAGGACGGGGGAGTAGTTTCCGCTTCAGAAGAAATTGTCCAAGGATTGATCGGTGGTGGTGGTGGCGCGGACGGCCACTTGCCGCAATTGAGAGGCAGCGCAGGAGGGCATGGTACAATCGTATTGAGAGACATAGTGCCAGATCCCACAGAAGATTGGTCTCTTTTGCACAGAAAAAAAGTATGGCGAGGCGCACTCTGGTCCGGAAGAGTGGTAAACTGAAGATGTGAGGTTTCTGTTGGGAACTTGTCCTCGTGTCTTTGCTTTGCTACCTACTCCTTCCTCGGCGGGCTCCTTCCTGCCTTCGCGATAAGGACAGAGCATGGCGACTGACAGTTGGTGCCGTAATTTTCAGGCACAAAGCTCAAAATCTGGCAGGAGGGCAACTCTAAAATCATGTCAAAAGCAAACATGGCCAAAAGTTGCACCAGCCAGCACCGAGTTTCGCGTGTGTTCCATTTCACCCTTCTGATGGAGATCAGCTCTACATCTCGCGCGATGCCTTCCCTTTGCGCCCGTAAGATTTCTTTTTATGCGCCTTCGACTTCTTCTATCTCTTGAAAGGTGGCTTTGGCACGTCTTCCGAATCGTCCGGTTCCGATCTCTTGGATTCTTAGAGCTGGTTTTTCTCGCGAATTGCCTCAGGCTCCTAGATCTTGTCAGACTCTTCGTGCTGGTATTTCTTGATCTCCGCTTCGAGCTTCCGGATCTTCACAGTCTGTCCGACGAAGGTCTAAGCTCGTCTGCCGATCATCTCTCTTAGCTCTCTAATCTCCTTGGATTGCTTGTCGACGGTCAAGGTCAACTCTCCTTTTTCTTTCTCACCACCAAAGGTAATGCTTCGAGAAAACGCTTTATTGCTTGCGCAGATGTTCCCTCAAGGGCCAAATCACCTCACTACTCTGGCTACTCAACCTGAAGCAATCCCACAAGATTCATGTTTTTGGGGAGCTTCCAAAACCGACTGCACATCCGCGGGAAAAGCAGTAGAGGCACTCTGCGACTTCTGCTGCTACATGATGCGGCAGAGCCAGTCAGCATCCGAGAGAGATTGCTGTAAGCCTGTTTTTGTCGGTGACAGTATATATTACCAGTGTAAAGCCTGTTGGCTGTTCAGCCGCCCTTGTACATGGACGGCGCGCACAGATCGATGGACTCGCTGGGGGACTGGGCCACCATATTTATGCACAGCAAATCACCCCCTGACTTCGATCCCGACTGGGGACCATCGCCGCTTAGCTTTTCATCGCACGACTGAGCACGATCTGTCTGAGGCATTCGTCCCCGAAGAACCATTGGAAGGAGTGGATGGCTTGGAGCTTGCACTTGAGATGGACGATTCGGCGGGTGGTGTACTTGACCGGACGGTAGAAGATGAGGATGATGAAAGCGTAATTATGTAAATTGAGAGAGTGGCAATTGATCGCAGCGGGATCAGCCAGCAAGTAGCGGAGAAGAAAGGGAATGAGGTGTTTCAATCCCAACTTTCCAATACAGGCCACGATGATGATGAGAATAGTTGAAAATAATCATAATAATAAATTATTGAGTAATTATTAGGCAGCATTATCTACCTATTATTAGACAATAGGAAGTATTATTCTGTGACTAACTGCCACAATATATCCGTCGAGGTCTTTGCAGTCCCTGTTTTTTTTTGACAGCTACTTGCTTGCCTTGGTCGGCTTCTCGCGATGTTGCTACAAAAGTGCGGCTGTCGGCTAAGATGCCTTCACAGCGCTCGCCTTCCTCCTGGATGGCCATGAAGCCAACGGATATCACCACCTCAAGTGATGTTGGCATTGCTAGAGGCGGCAATTTCTCAGTGTACATCAGATTGCTTTCATAACAAATTTTATCTACCTGGATTAATACTTTTCATCGCTATTATACATATACACCAGAGTTGCCCTCTGCTAGGCCCGCTAACGTGAGATGAAGCTCTTACTCTGCGCCTCTGCACCATTCGTGCTATTCGCCTTCCCGTCCTCCACGTCGACCGCGTAGTCGGTGGTGACGGTGATCCATTCCGGATTGGCATTGGTCAGGTCCATACTCGAGCCGAGGGGTATCCCCCCCTTGCGGATAGCCGACAGCTCGCAGTTGGTCGCGTCCTTCCTCCCGTTCTCCCAGGGCCTCAGCCCGGACGCGGGGGCGGCGGCGCTGCGCGAGTTGCCGTAGTTGTTGCCGTACTTGCCCGTGGAGTCGATGAGGGCGTACAGGCGGGGCATGTTGCGGCGGATGAAGGGCTTGAGGCGGACGAGGTTGTTGCACCAGATGCTGACGTTGGCCTCCCAGATGGTCAGGATCGTCGCCTGGCCCTGGGTGTAGGTCATGTCCGGGCTGTCAATCATCTTCATGACCCACCACACCTTGACAGCGGAGACGATGGCGGCTCTATAGAACGGTTAGGCTCGTGAATTCCGTGTTTTTTTCGCCTCGTGGGATAAACCTACCCAGAACCCAACCCCAGGATCATGATAACAAGCCCTCGCTGCTTGCGTGGCATCTTCAGACTCATTATCGTAGGTATCGGGATAAGGATGACGATGACATCGAAGGCGATGTTGAGGATAACCTGGGCGATGGCTCCCTTGTTGAGGCAATCCCCAGCGCCCGAATTCGCTGGCTCGCAAGGTCCGGTGAAGAGATACGTAAAGGCAATCTGATACCCAAAGATCGATAGTGTCGTCGCGTAGATCGCGATGCGGTACACGAGGTCGGTGTTGATTCGGTGATACAGAGCTAGCATCGCAAGTTTGGCAATCGAGACCGACCACGAGTAAGTCATCATACTCGGTCCGAGGAGCTTCAAGTCCAACCGGTGAGCGTTGTCCATTGTTGAGATTTTCGACATGATTCAAGGTCAGGAGTCACCTTCAGATAATTTGCGGCCTGCAGAGCAGACACGTTCCATAAATGCTTTCCGAATCCATAATCAATGCCTACAGGATGGTTAGGATTCAGAGAATCTCACGTGTCCTCTATTCACACCAACTTACATAGACACATGATAATGCAGTAGGCGCCTGATAGACCCCAGGCCAGAATGATGAGCCCTTTGAAATTGTCAACAAGAAAGATCCCAATTCGAATTCGCGTCCATCGGGCTCACGCACCATCGTCGAGGTCGAAACGTCTCACAATCGCGGAAGTCGTGTAGAGGCGCAAGGCGAGAAATAGCGTGGCCAGGAAGTAGGACACAACAAAGGAGCCAAGTAGGATGTTTGGGTATTACGTGTGCTGATTAAAGTCGGTTTCCTGGCCGTCAGGAGCGGGCATCGCCGGCGTAATCGCCAGTTCCTCCAGAGTCGGCATCGTGTTCCAAGTATTGAGCACCGCTCAAGGCGTCGGGATCGAGTTTTTTTTCGTCAACCAGCACGCATAACAAAGGGAAGCGTCCACCACATAAATCCAAGAACGGAGAACCCATATGCACAAGTAATATAAAGAGGGCTATATGTCCATGCAGAGTTAGTTATTAGCCAGCAACCAGAATAACTTGGGTCGGTGATTTCCAGTTGCGGTTTAGTTAAGACCGATCAGCGCAAATATGCTCGCCCCTGAACTTCCCCATACCCAAGTGGGCATGTCTTCATGAATAACAACCTTGATCCAGGCAGCACTTTTCAAAACGCCCGAGAACGGGTTTATGCTAGCCCTTTCCGAGGATGCTACTGGGGGATCGTCGTCCGCGGCGATATCCAAAACAAGAACCTGCTACCGGGGCGGGCAGCGCAAGCTTCCGGAGTGTCATGCCCCTCCACTTTGGATGCAGCTCTCGCCTTTCTCCTGCATATTTTGGTGCGCCCGAGAAAATGACAAAAAGCCCACACGTCGACTGATGGCGCGCGTAGTGCATCCACCCGGCCACAGAGAGGCCTCAGCTGCTGCACTAACTGCTCGGCGAAACACCATGGAAGGCGTGATCCCAGCTGAGCTGATCCTCATCTATCTCGCTTCCTCCGCTATACTCCAGGGGGTGATATTGTAGTCCATCTGAGATTCAGGCCAGGTTGTCATCGGGCTCCTTGACGCTATCGCTCGGACGATATAACCTTTGAAAAGCCCACCCTTCTCCACCGAAATCATATGTTTCTTGATCCGCTCGGGGAAGCCTGCAACCGTACTAGCCAGCCACCCAGGCTGGGGGTTGAGGCGGTTAGATATGATAAATGCCAGCTCATCGCCTGTGGGGGGAGAGGAGAGCCCGCCGCAGGCACAAATCTCATCCAAACCTTGCGGATAACTCGCTCATCCACGTGGATTTGTGACACATCGAATAAAATATATTGCAGATTTGCCGATCTTCTTGACAGAAAAGAGCTCCCGCTAAGGCGCGAGCTGCATGTCATACCGCACCATGACCATGGGAGCTCCAACTCGCCCCTGTGCCGTCGTCGTGGGCGGCGGCCCCATTGGCCTGACGGCCGCGCACATCTTCAGCCAGGCCGGCATTGACTTTGTCGTCCTCGAGGCCCGGGACACGGTGCTCCCCGAGGTGGGCGCCAGCATGAACCTCTACCCGGGGACGATGCGGGTTCTTCACCAGCTGGGGCTCGGCGAGGCGGCCGAGGCCGTGTCGGCGAAGATTGTGAGGGCTTTTTTCGTGGATTGGGATGGGCAGCTGTATAAGAAGGGTCATCCGGGTCCTGTGTTTGATGAGATGTAGGTCGCCTAATCTCCCTCCATCGCCATCGTGCCTTCAGAGGACAAAGCAATGGGATGAATCAAGAGGTAGAAATCAAAGGCTAACGTGGTGTCAAGACATGGCTGTCACCCACTGGCATTCCACCGCCTCGACGTGCTGCGTGTTCTGTATAATAATCTCGAGCCAGGTGACCAAAAACGCGTCTTGACAAACAAGCAAGTGGTCGACATCCAGACAACGCCAGAAGGTGTCACCGCCCTCTGCGCCGACGGTAGCAAATACGAGGGCACCTTTGTCCTTGGCGTGGACGGTGTCAATGGCAAGACGCGGGATTTCATGAGGGCGCTCGCCCTCCAGCAGTCACCAGACGCCCAGGTCAATCCCGAGAAGCCCTTCACGGCCTACTACCGCGTCATGTTCGGCACCATCCCGATCCCGCCTGGGATGGGCGTCGGGGAGAACCACGACTGCCACGGCGCAAAGTACTCGACCATGCTGATCACGGGCAGCCAGGGCCGCGCGTGGTTCTTCCTCTACGAGGAGCTGGACGCTCCGACGCAGGAGCGCGTGCGGTACACGGAGAAGGACATGGAGGAGCTCGCGGCGCGGTGCAGGGACATGCACGTCAGCCAGGAGCTGACCTTTGGCGACATCTGGCCGACGGTCGTCAAGGCCGGCATGACCAACCTCGACGAGGGCATGCTGGAGCACTGGAGCGGGGATCGCATCGTGGTGGCAGGGGACGCGGCGCACAAAATCACACCCAACATCGGATGGGGTTACTTTGCAGGCGTGCAGGACGTTATCGCGCTCACCAACCTGCTGCAAGCGAGCCTGTCGCAGGGCTCGACGGGCACACTGACGGGCGAGGAGCTGGCCAAGATCTTCAGGCAATACGAGGCCACCAGGAAGCCCGAGATGGCGACGGTGCTGAACCTGTCGGCGTCGGCGACCCGTCAATCGGCGTGGCCCAGGACGTGGAGCGGGCTGTTCTACCGGTTCATGGAGTGGGTGTCGACGGTGCCCGGGTTCGAGTACTTCACCATCAAGTACATTGCCTCGCCGGTGCAGAGCAACGCGCTGGTCCTGGATTTCCTGTCCTGCGAGGAGCCGTATCACGGGCTGGTGCCGTGGAAGTACCCGACGGCGAGGGCGTGATGGCTATCTATTGATGCCAAGGGCTGCTCTTGCATATGCGCGATACCCAGTCTTGTACATACATTACAGAATAATAGCGTCAGACTACATATCTTACTTAACTCGTGCTGTCTCGGCACATACGTACACATCCAGCAGGCCCGAGATGCACTGGCCAGGTGATGTGATGCTCAGGCGACGGCGTCCATGTATTGGGCCACTTCCGCACGACGACAGACGCCGTCTCTGGCGTTGACAAATCAGGATCGGCGCATGTTTCACTCGCTTGAGCAGATTGGAGACTGTTTGGGAGCAGCGTCCGAGCGGCCAGAGTCCGAGGGCTTAAAACGAGCCCCGGCGCCGAGCCCAGACACGTCATGCTGCCATACTAATATATGTGCCTATGCATTAACCGACACCATATGCAGTAAACCATCCGACACGTCGAGCAAACCATTCGAGAGCGCACGAGCTACAGCCACGAGTGTCTCTGGTGGGTCGGACGAAGCGACTCAATATCGCCTGCGACATGGTTCGAGCGTATAGCGTCAAAGTCACTCCGACACCCTGGGCGATGCGACGGCCGGATGCTACTAATCACCTCCCCCATTTTACCATCTGTCGTCGTTTGTTCCCCTTTTGGTCAGTCCCGGCAGTGGTCGGACCACGGACTTAGTGAGTTCCCCCTGGTCAGTCGCCTCATGCTTCCCCATGCAGCGCAACACCAAGCATCGCCATGGCGTATCGGTCCCGGTGAGCGACCCCAGAGACATCTCCCGTTCAGGCAACATTCAGAGCCTGAGGGCGATTCGCACTCGACTCGGTATCTGCCGTGTTGGGTCCCCCACCGGCCAGCATCCGAACAAAGACTCGCATCTCCCCCAACCCGTCTACCATTTGCGGCCGCGTCCTCGAGTCCTGGGACGCTGTTCGGGCGCCTGCCAATGATCTCGCATCGGGACGCTGCAGGGTGGGATAATAATAAGCACGCAAAACTCAAACTGGCGATAGGTGGCTTTTGATTTGCGTGTTTACTGGTTGTGGAGGCTCGGCGCATCTAGCCAACCCTCGCCAACACTTCGCTCAAATACGATTCGTATTTATTTCTCCATGTCCTACGATGTTCCTGTCCCGTGTCCCTCCTTCACCATTCAATGCGCCCGGTGAAGCCTTTCGCGCGCCGCCTGACACGACGATTCCCACTTATAAGCGTAAGATGCGAACCATCGCCTCCGCTTCCGACACCGTGGTCGCCAACATCTTATTTTCTTACTGCTAGTCCCCAAAATCCCCGAGGGCCCTGTCGCCATCGATGAGGACTTAATAAATTCGCCCGCCCTTCGCTCTTGGAGACAGGACCTGCGGGGTTTTCAAGGTCGTCCTGCTGCACGCCACCAGTAACACACAATGCAGAGCGCATCTCTTCTTCTTTCCCTCCCTGCTGAAATCTTCGACGAGGTTATCCTGCATACACATCTTGCGCTGGGCTTGGAGCCTACCGAGCAGAAGTTTGTGGAGCTGCGACTTGTATGCCGTGAGTGTCCCCGATTTCACGGACTATCCCACCTTTCATTACTTTGGGATACATTTTTCTAGTCGTATTTCTACTGGGGGTTATTACTAATGGAAGAGATAAACAGGCGCATTTGACGATGTGGTATCTCGCGAGGTCTTCCCTCGGGATAGGAAGAACCAGTTCATGAGGCGCAACAACATCAACGCCGAGACCGCCAAATGGCTTCTCCTAACCAAGACAAAAATTCACAGCCGCGATACGCGTGGGACGCTGGCCTTCCTGCATGAGTGCGCAACCTTTGCGATGAACCACCAAGCAGAGTGGTCCAGACAGACGAAGCATTCGTACTTTGACTACCTCGACGCCGCGTGCCACATCATCGTCGCCAACCATGGCGTGCACGCCGTGCTCAAGCAGATCGTCTTCGTGGCAAAGCGAGGCAAGAATCCCCTCGCAAAGTCCATCCGCATGCTGCGGGCGCGCAAGAGCACGCTGAGACCGTCCATGACGCCCGTCGACATCAATGGCGTGGTGCAGATGGCCGCCGTCTTGG